TAATTACTTTGATATATATATATATATATATATTCAAAGGAATGGCTGGAGGCTATTATACGAGCCTTAACCATCCCTCATGCGCTTAAGAATTCAAGTACCACACCCTACACTTGGGGGGAATCGAATCTCAGATATATATAAGGGAGGTATTTGTTTAATTATACATAGAGAAATCATCATACTTTCAAAATTTTAAATGTTAAAATTTGGACATAGGATTGTTGAAAGATTAAAGGCATCGTGTTTGCTAAAGTAATAATGGTTAGTATCTTGATGGAAAGTGACATTGACGGTGATTCTTAGATCATACCATTAATATTGAAAAAGATGTTGATAGGAGTTTATAAGCATGATTAGATTCTCTATTGTACATCATACAAGGAAGATAAGGCCCTGGGAGTGGGATTATTGGATCAAATATTCAAATTGCCGGATGTACTTGAATTTCTTAACTTGTTGGGATGAAGTCTTTTCTAAATTTTTAATTTAGGTGGAATTGGCGTAATCATTTCATAGTTTAAATTTGTTAAGCTTGTTAGTTAGACAGTTCCTTTTTTGTGGAGTTTGTTTAGGAGTACTTAAATTTTATGTTTATTATAGTTGCTTATTTAAAGACCTGAATTCTACAGCGAATTTGATGGATAACTCTTCCAAAAATATTTCTCATTCTTTCTTTACCTTCTCCAGCTAAACTCCCCCAGCTGTTGTCTTGGGTTTTCTTTTCCTGTAACTCTAGCTATTTAAGACCCCCGAAGTACTGTAGCATAAGCCACTGCTGCGGATGCTCTCTTATGAATGTTGCTGTTTTGGCTTTCACGTTTTTATTTTTCTTCTGCCTTTTCTGCTGTTGGCTGTTGGTGCTTTATGTCATCTTGCTCGGCTGTTTTCATTACTACCAGTAGGGAAAACAGCTGTTGTTTTGCTGCATGTGAAAAAAAGTTAAGAAATGGCTTTACAGCAATTGAAAGATCAAATTCAGGAAGAAAATTTGTGCCTAAAGTAAGTAGATGGAGAAAACAGCAAAGGGAGAAAGTCTATAATGAATATTCTCTATCTTGAGATGTCCTAACTTGTTCCTAGATTATCCACGAGTCTATAAAAAAAAAGAATATATACTACCCCTCCCTTTCACAGCCTCTTTGTTATTGACTTAGTTCATAGTTTAATAGGTTAGGCACCTGATCATGTCGGTGTCCGAGCATGGTTCATTGTATTCACATTAAAAGCCAAGAAAGAGGTGAGATTAAGAAGAGGAGGAAAGCTTGATACTGTTCTAGGGTCTTAAAAGATGTTTAGAAAGCGGTTTTATAAGGAGGTAATTGTGGAATGGTACGAGAAGTGTGGACGGAAAACAATAGGTCGGCGACGTTTGGAAAGAGATAGGCAGCTGAAATTGCTGTTGGGCGAGATTCGATCATTTTGGCTACTGTTCGAACAAAAAACAACGGGTTAAATGTGAAATGACGAGCATCTCCTATTCTTGAGCAAGATACAAACACTTCACTTGCAAAATAAATATTATACAACACCCTTTAGAGCATAAACCAAAATATTACAATCTCTACAATACATAAAACCCAAAGTAACTCTCAGAAACTACAAAATACATGCATAAATAGTCTCATAATAGAAAAGACTTTAATTAGAAATAATGAAATATGAAGAAAAATCAGAAAGAGAAAAAAATCATGCATAAATTGATAAAGGGTTGGTTCAACCGTTCCCGCAATTGAGGAATTCTTCGATTCTGCGGTATCATGGAAATATTGCGATCGTGGTTGCGGGAGGCCCCATCACAGAGTTCTACTTGCCACTCTCAGATCTCTTTGGCTAGGAGTTGCTTTTTCTTCTCTGGAAACGCTCCAATCTAATAGTCTAATGTACTTTCCTACAAAGTACTTAAGAGGATTTCCAAAGCTGTGGCTCACTGCTCTTGTTTGATCACTGTCATTGGGTGCGTTGTTGAACTGAACTGAAACTTAGTACTCAGCTTACTTCATAGAGTCTTCCAAAAATGGCTCAAAGACTCTTCAACTTGATCTGAAACAATGACATTTTGGACCACTCTCAACTGGGTTGCCTTGTGTTTGATTGGAGTGTTTATTATAATTGCTTTTGTAAAGACAAAAATGATGCATGCCACAAATGCCTTGAGGGGTACACCTCATTGCAAAAAGGTGTAAGCCTCACTCACAGTAACGAGGCTTAAGCCTCGAGGCAATTCTTCCATGCCACGAATAATGACACCTCTAGGTGAACACCTATAACAATTTTGAGAATGTTTCCATAAGTGTTACATCACGCCATACTTGTTCCTGAAGCTCATCTCCAATAAAAACTTCACAAGACATCTTCTGACAACGGTGATCTTACTCCATTTTTTCAGTTAAGTCAGAGAATATGGTTGTGAAAGCTTCTAAGCAATGAGAATCAATTTATTCACACCATAGGTATAGATGTCACATTTTTACAATTTCTCTATCTATAAAGATGGCACACATATTTCCCTTCATGGTACAACGGGTACGAAAAATATTATGGTGGAGCCATTGTTGCTATCTCTTGAGCTCATTCTAAAGGACATGTCCGATTACTAGCATCTTTCTCTCATCTGCGGGCAGTTGGAACTTCTCTTTGTTTTGCTCCTCTAGATCTTCATCTTCTGTCTTCTCCACTGCACTTAGTGAAAGATATCATCCTTCTCTTTGGACATTCAGATGCTATGTGTCTAAGGCTGTGGCACTTAAAACACTTCCCGACTTCTTCAGATTTGGAAGTATTGGTTGTCTCCACTTTTTCTCCACTCTAAATTGATTTGTTTTGGGGCGGGGTTGGCTTGTATGCTCTACTGGATGCAGTCTTGATGCCCTGGGGGTAACTCTGCCTATAAGTTGTGGCCGTCACATAATGACTCGTTATTTCTGCACCTTTAAAGCTAGGGTCTATACATTAAGTAGGGCTTAATATGACTACAGATGTGTCATATTAATAATAAACAATCTCATTTCTCCAAGATATCTTGCTATTGTGTGCTCCTTTGGTTTCACCAATTGAAATTTTAGCATAAGCTGATTAATTTCAGTTGTGTACCCTATAAAAGAATCTCGTTGGCCAGGGTGGCTGTATTATTAATATATCCCGCCGGTAATACGGGGGAAGGTATTTGTGCTGCATTTTTCCTTTCATCTTAGGTTAGGTGATGATCTTCCTCTTCTCCTCATGTTGTCGAAGTCACTTTAGATTCTCCCACCATAAGGAAGCATTCTTTTTTAATTTAATACCAGCTAATTTAACCTCTGTCATGTGGAACATCTTTGTGTTTAAAATCTTGTTTCAATGTCTGGAGCTACTCGATAAACTTGTTTGGATTTATGTGACTGCCAATATTGGACAAGTAAATCTTCACTTCAGCATCCTGTCTTCTCCTCTGATATTCTATGCTAAAAATTGTTGTAGTATTGGTCATTAATTACTATAAATTTCTTGATGGAAGGGATTCATGCCCTCCCGTTGATTTGGAGAGTTATTGTTATGGCTATGGGTGACCTCACTGGATTATCTCCTCTAAGTTGGCTAGGCTTTGTTGTAATTGGAGGATTTCTAGCTGCTTATTCTCCATAGTGATCACCTGAATACCTTGTTGAGGGTTTATCTTTGGTGGCATGACGTCTCCCTTCCAATGAAAGTTTTGATGAGATGAAAAAAAAAAAAAATTGTCTTAGGGCAGGGTTAGGGTTAGGGTTAGGTTTAGGGATAGGGCTAGCGCTAGGGCTAGGTGGGTGATTCAGGAATTTTTTTTTTGTGGTTCGAAAGTTTTTTTGTGGTTCAAAAGTTGGCTAAATGCTTAGGGTTTTAATGACAAGTATCAGAGTGAATTTTTGGCAAATGTAGGAAGTTTGTATTTTGAAATTTTTATGTTAAGACAAGAAGTTATTATAGGAATGGTTAGAGAGTATTGACTTGTTTGATGATTTAGTTTATGTGGATATTTGGGTAGGCGTAGGAATGACAAATCCCTAAAAATTAGGGTTTGTCGGGCTTTGATACTTGGTGATATTGTTCTAGAGCTTCTAGAATGTGTTTAAAATGTGGGTTCTGTGGGGAGGTAGTTGTGGAATGATACTGGAAATAGGGTGGGGGCAGTCAACTGTGTTTGGAAGGAGATTGGGGGCAAAATCTGTTGTCGGACAATAAATTCAAGCAGTTAGGCTTTTGTTCGAACTAAAAATAGTGGGTCGACGGTGAAACAAAAAGGTGCAAACGATGACGAGAATCCACTACCTGTTCTCGAGAAGATATAGACACACCAACTTGAAAAAGGAAAATGATACGACACTCCTTATAGCATAAATTAGAGATTACAATATCTACAACACATAAAATTCAAGCTAGATCTAAAAAAACAGTAAAATACATGCATAAATAGTCTCATAATTGAAATGTCCTTAATTAAAAATAATGAAATGGGAAGAAAAATCAGGAAAGGAAAAAAAAAAATTGTACAAAAATTGATAACTGGTTAGAACCACACATCACGACCCTCCCGCGATAGCTGAATTCTTCGATTCCGCTGTATCGTGGATATACCACGGTTGGGAGGATTGCAGGAGGCCCCATCCTGCGGCTCTACAAGATGCTTCTGCGTCAAATCCAGTAAATGGAGGCCAACGATTCTACCCTAAATCTAGTTTATCAGGTAACTAGTTTGATGGATCAGATGAACTATGATAGAGTGGATGTGATGCAAATAAATGCCACTGAGCGTTGTGGATTGTAGGCCTTCAAATTGATTTGCGCGTATAGGGACCGACGTTCACTATTTTTTTTACATTTTGATCAAATTGGTTATGGTTAGTTTGTGTAACTCACCAGAATTTAGTTTCCCTTCAATAACCATAACTTTTTTTTTTTTGTCTCAATCTTCTCCAATCTAGGTTTTCCTGTTTCTATTAAACTTTCTTTGACCCTATAAATTGTTTCACGTCCAACTTCATCTTACTTTTTTTGTTCATTTTTTAATGGATTGTATACCTTGCTGTGGTTGATTTTTGCAGTCTTTGTTTTCCCTGGCATGCACTTGCATCGCTCTTTGTATCATGTTATTTCTACTAATACTGTGTCATATGAAAGATTTATGAGATGTTAAGATACTTTTTATATCGTGACTATTTATCTGATATGTGAATATATGCACTGAGTAAAGTACTGCAATCCTTAAAGCTCTTAATTTTTGTGAACTTATTTATCTTTATTGGAATTTTTTTAATTGGAAGTATGATTTATTAAAGTATTCATTAGCGGTATATATCAGTAAATCTTATTTTGCAGTGTCACGGTTACTATTGCCTATTTGATGAAGGAGCATCAAATGAGTTTTTCGCAGGCCTTTTCACTTGTTAAGAGTAAAAGACCACTTGTAGCACCTAATTCTGGCTTCATGGCGCAATTGCAAAATTATGAGAAGTCTCTGAGAGGTAATAATACGTTTGCTTGCCCTGTTTTTGCTTTAAAGCAATATTTTACTTTTATTTTCGTTTGATTCCATTTTCTTGCCCACTCCTTTACACTTTCAAAGCTATCATATGCTAATTACATTGGGAAAAGTATTTTAACTTCATATTAGTTACAAATTATGCAACTTTTCAACATAAGAACATATGAACTCTATCGTTGTAAAATATATTGCATTGCCATGATCGAAATATTGAAATTGCACACATATATTGCTCAGTTCGATGCATGGGGGAAGTCTACAAATTCACCCTCGTGTTTGGTGAAGAAATGGAATTGATTTCATGTTAGCAACTTCAATTGTGCGAGAAGTTGATGTATATATATATAACTTTATTTAAAAATAAAAAAAAATTGCCAAATCCCTTTTGACATTCTATTCCAAGATCCAACATGTCTGCTTTGCTATCAACCAAGCTCAAATCAGAGAACAAAATGCTGCTCTCCACAAATGGCTATGGTTGCTTCCAGATGTCATTGACTACATGAAGCATAAATAACAGCTGACCAGGAAAAAAAAAAAAAAAAAAAAAAAAAAAAAAAAAAAAAAAAAAAAAAAAAAAAAAAAAACTCCACCACGATCTTCCAGCATGAAAATACTCACAAACTTCATAAAGTTGGTTAATGTGTTCTCAAAATTGATCTCTACTTGAAAAGACTAGAATAGGTTGTAAAAAAACTTGATAAAAATTCTGCTGTGGATACTTCATCTTTTAGGGCGAAGCAGGAGCCTCAGAACAACAATTGGAGTAGTTTAAACACGTTAATATTTTAGATAACTGATTATGTATGTTTTTTTAAGCATGATGGAAATACCTAATACTCATCGAAGATGCCTCAAAGGTTGTGAAAATTGGAACTGCTATTGAATTGAAAGAATGAGATAATTAATGTTTAAAAGTACAACGAGATGATTTAATAAATATTGAATTTATTTTAATATTATTTAAATTGTACAATAATTAAACAAATAATCAAAACTTGAACATAAGTAGAGAGGTAAACGAGTCGATTCGAACTCAAGCCACCTTTGGCTTGAGCTTAATTTTTTAATTAAGTTCAAGCATAATTCAATTCGAGTTCAAGTTTGTTTGATAATAAAATGATAAATAGAATAAAAAATTAGATATAAATATTAATAAATCACTCGATATAAAATATAAAATATAATTTTAAAATATTTTAAATAATTTAAATATAAAATACAAAAACATCATAATTATAAGTTTAACTTAATATAATTTATATAATTAAACCATACATATAAAATTTTAACTATTTAATTGAGAATTAAAGGCGATTAAAAAAATAATTGTGACCATTAGGCACTATATAATCAAAATTGGTTCACCGATTTGCTGATTCGATCGGCAGTTCATGCTAGCTTTAACTAGTTTGATATGAAAATTTCCCTTGAGGCTACCTGGACAAGGCAAATGCCTGATTCACAATTGAACGAGTTGATTCGGCCAATCCAATTTGATTTAAAACCTTGTGTCCTGTGCTGGTGGAGGCTTGTCAAATTTCTAAATTAACCTACAAAGAACAAAATGGTGTATTGAAAGCGGCTTTTGGAACTATGCAACAACAACAATAACAAACCTTTATCCCACTAAGTGGTGTCGGCTACATGAATCCTATTTCTACATTGTGTCCTCAATTTTGAATGTGATGAAAAAGTAATGATGAAAATGAGAAAAAATACAAGATTATAAAATAAGAAAAAATTGAGCATTCAAAATGTGACATGTCATAATAGCTTGCTAAGGAACATGAAATGACCTCTTGCTAACTTCAAGATTGATTAGAATTATGAATTGTAGCTACCTTTTAAAAATGACTAAGTGAGTTCGATTAAAAATGACTCAACTGTTTAACGAGCATGAATTATCCTCTTAATGACTTCAAGATTGATTAGAATTATGAATTATAGCTGTTTAAAATTGACTATGATGCGATAAAAGAAATAATGATGAAAAAGAGAGAAAACCTGATGATGAAATAAGAACAAAATTGAGCATTCAAGATGTGACATGTCACGACAATAGGATCTGACTCAAACAAATATTTACATGGGATTCAACGGCTTGCTAATGAGCATGAAATAACCTTACTTATTGATTAGAATTATTAATTATAGCTGCATTTAAAAATGACTCAAGTGAGAGACCCTATTCAAAGGCAATGGAAGGCCATTGTGGGGTATATTTGAGCACTCATGTAGACTAAATTTAAGCAACAAAATGCATCATTTTAAATGCATAACAAGAAAATAAGTTGCAAATATGTGCAACTGAATCTGTACATACATTCCAGTGAACATAATGTAAAGATAAAAGCTTAAAATGATACTTTGAGATGTTTTGATGAGAATACATTCCCACAAATATTTCAAATCTGGGTGATTTTTATGTTTCTTATTATAGGCAAGAGCAAATCCCCAACCCAATTGAAAGGCTTTATGAATCATGTAAGCACATCAAGAAACATGCATGTTCATTTACAAATATTAAATTGTCCGAATTTGCTTTGACAAATGTATTAATATTTAAACTTAACGTTAGAGAATGCTGCACGAACTAAAAATAAGTGAACTCGAATTCCTCCTGCCTCAAGCAACATGCAATTATTGTGAGCTTCACAAACTTTATTTCAAAATTGAGACTCATCAACAGGATGCATGCTGTTTTTGTGTGGGCCCTTAGCGCATTTTACTTAAATACTTTGATGAGCACACAAATGCATCGAGTAACATGCAAATGCATTGTGCATGTGCACCGACAATTCTATCAAGTGTATTGAAAGATGTGCACGCCATCTAAAGATAAAGCCAAAATGTTCCATAGACTATTAATACGGGTCAATTTTTGACCGAGACTGTAATTGTGCTCAATTTAATCCCTTGATTAGTTAATTATGATCCAAAATAGATTTCAAGTTGGATTATTTATGACTAGATTCAAATTGTTTTGGGAATTATTTTGGATTAGATTTGAATAATCATTAGTTAAATGGAACACAATTGTAGTTCAAGACCAAACTGATCTCAATAATAATTGTCCAATGACCTTTTTGACTTTTTTTTATCTCTACAAATTAAGCGACAAGTCAACCTTTAGAGTCGAATTTAAGCAAACACTTGGATCGCGTAAGCTTCCTGGAAATCTTATTAATATAATCTTTCAGTTTTTTCTTGAAAGCTGTTTGATTTTCTCATGAAGAGTAGTGAGATGGTGATTTTTTTTTATTAACATCAATGATTTCACATGTGTGCTGTCGAAATATTCATATCATTGATGCTTACCTTAACACCTCATCAGCCACCTGTGGCGTCCTCCCTTCCACTAAATCTCCTCTCTATTTTCTTTTCCTTTATAACAAAAAAAGATAAAAATGAACGCAAAAACTTGAAATAAGCATTTTTTTTCATGCTTTTCCGTGAATATCTTTCAACGCAGAATCTATTATTCCGTTTTCTTGTTCCCATATGCAATTTTGCTGATTCGAAACATATCTTGTACCATGTTTCTTAATGTTAGTTTGTGCTAAATCTTTTCTATTACCAATTTTTAAAATTTTTGGTTTTGGTCGACTTACAGAGCTAGTAAACAAGGTCCCTGAACAAATACACAGCTGATGTTGGACCTGAATGTTGAGGTAAACTAATTAGCCTTTTTACCGTGTTCCGTGTTAGTTGGGACCTTTCTGGTTTAGTCCTCTGATTACATTGTCATCTTTTGATCTTCAAATTCTTTCTGATCAAAATGAAATATGCTCAGTCTTGGCTATTTTCAGCTGTAGTAAATTTGATGTGGAAATTTTAACAGTATTTAATACGAATTATTGTTAAAGCCAAGCGCATCACCCACTTCTGTGAAAATGATTTTAGTTGAGTTCTTAATGCCAGGATAATATAGGATTTGGATTTAAGAAGAGTTATAGCTCAAACGGCATGCTTTTTAATTCTGGACAGAGACAAGTTTTAGCCAAATCATGGAATTGTTCTTATTTCCACTTATCTGTAAATAACTTTTCCCTAATTTTCGAGAACTGCTGTTGTGCCCTATTTTAGATTTCTATTCTTGAAAAAAAAAAATTTATTTACATATACACCACCCAATTCCTATAATTTATATATTTAACACCTGAACTTTACTTCTTACATCTATACTACTCAAATCGTTCATATCACATAAAAAATACCACTATTTTAACTTTTAAAAAGTGAAATACACATTTTCATACATAAGCAAAGTGGCATGCATGTAAAAATTAAAGTTGAGGTATTAGATACATAAATACATAGAAATTGAGTGGTATGTGTGTAAATCTTCCAAAAAAAATACAAAAAAAACAAGAATTGTTCTCTTATGGAGTTGAGTTTTATAGCAAACACTGATGGCTGTTTGTTCAATTTCTAAAGTAACGGCTGTTTTTACTGTTTCATTGTGCTGAAATAACATTTAATATTTGTAGTAAAGATTCTTTCGGTTATTTTCAGGCTTCTATCCTCTAAGTGGACTGGCTTATATAATTAGCAAATTCTCGAAAAGAAAGGACCGACAAGCAACAACAGAAAAGAAAGAACAACAATTCTGCTTTTGAAAATAAAATAATATCTGCTTTTTACTGGCTACTGTTTAATTTGTAAATCTTATCTGCAAGTCTTTCCATGGCTTAAACTGTTAGCAAGTATAAATAAGCGTAAGGAAAGTGTGTTCTTAGATTGTGGAGTTCTAAACAAACTTATATATCCAGGTTCAGCTCCTTCACATGTAGTTTGTTTAAAGATCATTTATTTAAATAATTGAAAAGTTGAACAAAATTTAAAAAATAGATTTAGAAGAATAAGTTTGAATATTGGTCCATTTGTTCATTTATGTTTGTGAATGCGCCTGTTTGTTTATCCAATAAAATAGCTTGTTAAAATGCTCATTTAATAATGATTTGATTAGTTGATAATTTATTCTATATGTTTATATCAATTTACTTGCATGCTATGCATCTTAAAAATTGTTTATATTTTTAAGATGCAAGTATGATGCAAATGTTATTTCAAGGGGTGATCATGCATTTGGTGCGAGCATTAGACAATTAGCTGACTAATGGAAGGGGAATGCGATCGATGGCAAATAAATTTTATGTTGTTTGAGGGAATATTTGGGGTGTAGATGTTATTTTGCAAGTAACTTATTCATTTGGCATCTCTCAAGTGATTAGAGCGAACTACAACATTTATTGAAGTTTTGAAGCGTGTTTAAATACAATAGCACCTTGGTTGGAAACAAAGTGAAGAATTTCAATGTGGTGGGTTCGAGCACTAACTTTGCCCGGAAAAAAAAAAAAAAGTTTCAAGGCAAAAATAGAATTTTTCGAGGTTTGTGGGAGGATTTTGATAATGGAAACCAAATATTTTAGGTGATTTAGGAGGTTAATGTTAGTGCATTTCCACCTAAGACAAATAAGAATCCCCTTTACTGACCAGGAAAGAAATTGGATTTATCTGTAAATCAAATTTTGATAGGTCTCTATGACATTTTATTTTGAATTTAGATTTGTGGAGACACGGACAACTCTGATGAAGTACATGGATGAAGATGCTACACCTCACACACTACACATTATTGAATTTTCGGCACTATCTTCAATATTTTTGTATTTACATTGAGTTTGCATCCATCTTTCTTCATATTGCACTTGTGCTACATCAAAACATTTGAACTCACGCTGGGTTAAAAAGCTTGGAATTTACATTATGCCTCTTTGTATGTGCTAAAAATAAAATGAGCATGCTACTGAGTACAATGCGTCATCTTATCTGTTGCCCATTAATTCAATTACCAGAAATAATGCTTAATAAATTTGAGATGTCTATATATATATATTATGTATATATATATATATATGTATATATATAGATTATGAATTGTGTATTATTTGAATGTTTATAAATGTTAGAAGTATATTAAGAGGCATACTAATTATTTTTGGGGCATTACATTGCCATCCAATTCTTATACACTTAAATTTTGATTTTTATATTTATGCGACTCAAAAGTTTCCTATCACATAAGAAATATCACTATTTTAGCATTCCCAACCACCCTTTCCTTGATTGCAGTTACTGTAATCTCTACAGCCTTGATTTTACGGCGAGCTTGCAAGCTAGCGGTGAGATGGCGGCGGACAATGACCTCAAAAACTCCATCCTTCGCTTACTTGTGCGCTCTTCCTTTCCTAAATCATTGGGGAAGGTAACCCTCGTCTTTCTTCTCCTTCCTCCCACCAATCAACTCCTCTAAATCCCATCAATCGGTCTTCTACCGGATTTACTAGATCTTGGATTCAAGACCAAATGGAGGAAAAACAAAATTAAGAACCTGTAGGATTTAAAGATGCCATTTTCTTATGTTTGGCAGGATTTAGATTAAATTCTGCTTAAATATTGCAACCTAATATGTTTGGTGCCATCGTGAAAGATGAGTGTTTCGGGGCATTGTACACCACCATCTCCGGAAAATTTAGACTGTCGAGATTTCGGTAACGATAGTTGATGGATGTGTAACGCGACTACGAGAGTGATGAACATGAGAATGGGGAATAATTTGGTGGCATGTAGGCAATATTAAAGTTGAAGCTGTTATATATGAAAAATTAGAAGAATTTAGTGGTATATTTATGTAAATCTCCCTAGATTTAATGCCTTTGAATCTTATCTTGACTGTCGTATTATAATAATAACCTAATAAACCACTAGCTATCCGCCAGAATGTTTGACATCCATACATGACAGTTGCTTAATGCTAATCAAGGATTGATGCTTAATCATCATCTATTAAGAATTGACCCCAATTTATTATTGTTATTATTATTATCTCACATCTCCCATCCTATTTAGTGACCAAAACAATCATCTACTATCATTGGATGACAACTTTGGTATCTCAAGTCTCCTCTCTCCATCATGAAAGATATATTAACAATTTATGTTTATCTTATCGCATTGATGCTTGTATTACATCTTCTTTAACTATAGAGAATGCTACTATTTAAATATATGATCTATACTGATGGAATTATTTCAAATGTTTTAAGCCTATGATTTTCTTGGTAATAAATCTTAAAACTTCGTGCAATATTTTAGTAAAATATTCGTAAATTAAAAGGATAAAGTAAATTTTCTCTTAAAAATTGACATAATATTATGAGATAAGTTGATCGTAGAATCGAAGATAAAATGCTGAAAAATCATACGACATTTAAACTTTTAGTTTAAAAATAGATCCTTTTATTTAACTTTGTTTAAATATCCTTTCATTTAAAGTACTTTTCTTCTAGCTATAAATTATGTAATGATATCATTATCATATGTATTTTTTTAACCTAAATTAACTTCAGTAGATAGGCCGAAATGCCCATGTAATGATGAAAAATTTTTACGTGCAAATTACGAACGTACGGACAGCGGCTAAGATTAACGGAGGGGAACAAATAAAAAAATAAAAATAAAAAGACCTTCGATGTATAACAACGACTGTCTGTATGCGCATAATCCACATGTAAAAATTCCTCTCTAATGACATTCCTAGTAGACACCATATTTATGATTTCTTGCCCCAATTTGTTTACATGTTGTTGTATGTGTGTGTGCGTGTGCGTGTTATAGATTAACTAAAATTATTGTGTTTCTATGTAAAAATTAAGAAAATTATTCTATGTCAATATATATACTTGGGTTATTGATGTGCTGTAAAAAAACTTCATTAATCTGATTGAGCATGAAATTCGACATAAATTTTATATCTCCAAACATCAAAATATGTATTCAAATGATTACTTGAACTTCATTTCCTCATAAACTTATATTCAAAATGGTCATCTTGACAAACAAACAAAATAATACTAAGAACACGTACATTTGAGTCCTAATGGATCAATGTCAAGTATTCATAGATCATAAATATAATTGAAACATTCGAGCGGCCATTCAAGGCATCAAATAACCTTAGAATTTCAAGTTCTTATAGTTGAAATCACCTTTTTGATGAGAAAAATCAGGCCTAAAATCACACAATTTTAATATTATTAGATACTACGATGTTTAAGAAATCACAAATAATTAAGGGATCAACATGAAACGCCTTATCGGGTATTCTAAATTTATAAACATTTATTGATTCTATGTATTTTGGGGGATCTTGATAAGAATTTGGTTGAGAGAATTTTAAGTGTTTGATAATTTTAGAGTTTTGCTCATCAACAAAAAATACCAAGTCATCAACCTATGTTGATGCTCACTATTGACCTCTGAGCCATTGCCCACCTTTGATTAGTGCTGACTCTCATCATTGATTAACACTAACATCAATTATTCACCAATATTACTGTATGATTACCATCATTTAAAGTCTCATGACTATCAAAATTTGACATTAATCCCATTTGATCATCCAGTTACCACTCGAAAAAGAGAAAATATCAAATTAGACAATTCAACATTAAACAATCTTTGATGCCGCTCATCAATTTTTGCTTGTTGCTTAAAAATGGTCAATACAATATGTTCATCGATCATTGGCATTTACTACAATCCTCTCGATCACAAGTGATCAAGATGATTGCCCAACATCACTCACTAACATATTTGGTATCTTAAGACTCCTACTTTCAACATTTAAAATAACTTTTGTAGTTCATATCAAACAAAGAATGATACCCTTCATATTATGCAAGTCACTTTAATCTATTCATTCTTATCTAAGCTCTATCTAATGGTTTTTCTTATTCTTTAAAAGATTCATATTATACATCTTTATGAGCTGCTCCCATTTTATTTTGTTCTATAAAAATTAAAAAAAAGATCATTTTATTATTGCAAATATATATTCCATTTATAAAAAAATACTTAAAAGTAACACTGAAAATTGAACTGAAACAAACTATACAAATTTGGCTGATTCAGCCTTATTTAAAAAAATGTATTTTGATTTTTTTATTTTAGTTGTTTGGGATAATTTTTTATTTTATTTTATTATATTTATGTTTCTACTTTAAATGAAACATGTTTGGTATGTTAGTTGCTTTTAAAATTATCCAAAATAAATTTTAAACATTTTGAGTTTTATTAAAAACAAATTACATTATTTTTTAAAACAAAAAAAAAAAACATACAAAAAAAATAAACTAAGCATGCATGATTTTGAATTAAAAGGAAAAAACAAAAGTAATTAAAAAAACACTTTTAATTTTTAATTGTTTATTCAGTTTAATCAAACCAAAAATAAAAGCTCAAATCTAAACAAAGGTCTCATGAAATTAAATTAATGTAATTCTTAGTTATCAGTCCACAATAGAACTCAAACTAACAACTAAATTTTGATGTCTTCATAAACCAACTTTTTAAATCAAATTAAATTTAATATATTCGATCTGAATTTATCAAAACTTTAATTAAAAAATTGGTCCATTAAAATAACCCAAAAACTCGAGAAAAATTTGCATGCGTAAGACGTACGCAGCGCTGCGTATGTCAGTTAGGTTACAGTAAGGGTATTTAGGGTTATATCCGCGTTATGTCCCCTGTAACCTACCTATAACCTACCTGTAACCAGTAAGTTCTGCGCTTCTGTTTTCATATATTTGCAAGTTACAAGTAGGTTACAGGAAAGATGCAGGGGGTATAACGCAGATATGACCCCCAATATCCTCCCTGTAACCTACTTGACACACGCAGCAAAGACGTACGCAAATTTTTCTCCAAAAACTCTCCCCCTTCCCCCTTCTCCCACTCCTCTCTAAAAATTAAAGTGGTGAAACATCTCACTGAAATTTCACGTGAGAGGGAGATAAAAACTAAAGCGAAATAAATGCATGCACACGCAAAGACGATAACTCGCATTCCCATCCCCTCCCGCGACAATAAATTAACAGCGCCCATTGTATGTGAAACTCATTTATCCAGCTTTCTTCCTCCTCCACGCACTTCTCTCCATGCAGATGACTTTCCACATATCTATATATATTGTTTTATAGATTCATTAGACTGAAGAAGCAAGCTGCACGAGTGCGCCGGAATGTCTCATATTACTGTTGAGAGAAACAGGAGGAGGCAGATGAATGAGCATCTCAAAGTTCTACGTTCTCTAACTCCTTGCTTCTACATCAAAAGGGTCTGTGCTGATAATTAATCAGATTATTATTTCTCATCTTATAAACTTTTTAATATATATATATATATATATATATATATAACACTTCCCGCCGTGTACTCTGATCAGTTTATCGGGCATCTACTTATTATTTGTAAGTTCCCTCTGGTCCGGGGTTCAATTCCCCTCGAGTGTAGGGTGTGGTACTCGAATTCTTAGTGACATGAGGGATGGTCCGGGCTCATATGATAGCCTCAGACGATTCCTTTCAATTTTTTTTTTTTAAATATATATACATCTAACACCAAAAAATTTGCTTGTTTACATTTATGCCACAATTTTCATATATCATAGTACACCTTTCATGCATAAGTAAGATGATATATATGTTAAAATTTAAGTATAAGAGTTGGATATGTAAATAAATAAGAATTGAGTGGTATAGGCATGTAAACCTTTCTTCTTAATAAACTAATAAGTGCCATTTTGTGTAATATATATAATACACATAATTAAGTGCCATTTTAGGTATATTATTATAATTTTTAATCTCTCTAAACTAATAATTTGAATTCTATATTTTTGGTGCCATAACAAATCTATTATAGAATCCAACTATAAGAAATCCTTTAATTAATTATATACATTTATCTTTCCTATTTTATGTTCCTTTACAATCTTTTATCTGAATAATTAAATTTTGCATATTTGCCAACCAAGCATCAAACTCCTAAGCTCCTACAAGAATGAAAACAATAATTAATATTAAATCTTAACTTGTAGGGTGATCAAGCATCAATCATTGGGGGAGCCATAGAATTCATCAAAGAAATGCAGCAGCTATTGCATTCATTAGAATCCAAGAAGAAGAGAAAGTGCTTGAGCCCAAGCCCAAGTCCAAGCCCAAGGCCATCGATCTTATCTCTCACTTCCCCACCACCCCTAGCAAGCAGTAGCCCTAATTTTGAGGTTGTCAAGGAGCTCAGTGCTTGCTGTAACTCCTCTGTGGCAGATGTTGAGGCCAAGATCTCTGGTTCTAATGTTATTCTAAAGACACTTTCGAAGAGCATTCCTGGTCAGATGGTGAAGATAATCACTGTGTTGGAGAGGCTGGGCTTTGAGATTCTTCATCTTAGTATCAGCAGTATGGAGGATACTGTGCTTTACTCCTTTGTCATTAAGGTAATAATTACATTTTCATTTTTTTTATTGAGAATAAATCTTTGTTTGAATGATTTAAGTTTTCATCTCTTGAAGCTTACAACCCATTTGAGGCAGCTTATTTGGTGCGGTGGCATTTTGAAAACGCACCTGTTCTGTTTAGGTAAACTGCGTTTTGGCAGCTTATTCGTTTTCAAAACGTTGAAAATAGTATTTTCACATCGCACTTATCTAGGCGCAGTGACAACTTTCTGGTTGCGGTCTGACTTTTCCTTAAAAAAAAAAAAATTATAATGACCACATTACCTAGCTTTTCAACAGATTATTCAATAAGCTGCAACTGCCCCAGACAGACCGTTACCCTTAGTCGTGCATGTAGCATACATTTATAGTAACCATACTGAAAATTATTATTTTCTGTCAGGAAGAAAAAGATGGCTTGGGAAGTGTAAGAACTGTGTTTTGTAGTTTGAAAAGATTTATATATCTTACATTTTAAATTAAAATTAAAGCAAGAGATCTTTAATTTTTATGTTTTTTAATTTTTTTTTTATTTTTAGCTAATTTGATAATGATTAACTGTTTAATTATATTAATTAATTGTTACTATAGTTTGTACTATTAAAAAGATTAGAGGATGGATCAAGGTTTTAATCCTTGAACAGGAGCTGATATAAAGCTGAAATATGCATTGTTGAATTAATAAAAAGAATTAGTAATCGATAGTTTTTATGAAATAAATTATTAATTAAATTTTATGAATATAATAGCAGTTCAATTCAAATTAAATGAATATTTGATAACCTAAATCTAAAATACTAATTCAAAAGAGCAATTGCAATAGTTTAGAAGAACTTTCAAAGCTATTTCAGACACTTGGTCGTAAAAGAGATTAAGCAATAATCATGTTTTAATGGCGTAATTAGACAAAAAATTAATCTATAATGTCAATTAATGATTAAACGATATATTCTGAGATATAATGCTTGCTTTCAGGTTATTCAAATCATGTATATGAGTTATTAAAATGGTTATTAATTTGGATAGGATTAGTTTGGAAGTTGATATGTATTAAGAGATGTATTTCATTGATTGTGACATTTATGCTTTATATATAAGGTTGTAATTAGATGATTAAATGATTTCTGATTCTAAGTGCATGTCTGTCAACAAAGTATAGTTAAATGATGTGTGTAAGAATAGTATATTTGAAATAAATATAAGGTAAAACAAGAAAGTATGCATATATACTACATAATGATTTTGTTATAGAGATGATCTGCATGGGACCAACTAAGCAGAGTTAGGCAAAAATAAGCTTAGATAGACCAAAAGTATATTGATAAAGCGATGAGGCAACATGAATTGATGAAACAATTAAGAGAGAAATAAATTAAAAATCATGATCTATAAGATGGGCCAAAAATGCTCATAATAAAAAAGGGTTCAAGCTGAGATATATTGAAAATAAGGTAATGAGGCATTTTGGATTATTTTGTTACTAGGAAAAAAAAATTTACGACTAGAGGATAAGTTATAGCATATTTTAGTGAAAAACACATTTACAATACAAATATAGATGATAAATGAGAAAATCTTAAAAGTTTAGGATTGTTTGGCTCTCATGCCCGCCCCCCTAATGGTCTGTTTGGGGCAACTGTAACTGTAGCTTATTGTATACTCTGCTGATAAGCTAGGTGCGGTGGCTATTACAAATTTTTTTTTTATTTTTTTATTTTTGGAAAAGCCAGATCGTAGCCAGACAGTTGCCACCACACCTGTGGACGCCCTCCTTAAGTAATATAGACGTCCCAAACACATATTTTCAGCGTTTTGAAAACGCATAAGCAGCCAAAACACAGTTTACCCAAACATGCAAGGTGCGTTTTCAAAACGTCACCGCACCAACTAAGCTGCCCCAAACGGGCCCTTAAGTCCACCCATGCCCTCATGCATGCCTTCATTTCATAACATCACCTAGCAAAATTAGTAGGGCAAATCATAACATACTTATCCTTAAATATTATTAATATTTTTAATGGACCATCTTATTTTGTAACCAAAAGTATAATTTAACAAGGATCCCTTATGAAGTCCATGACTATTAACTATTATTGCGATTGCATAAGATCTACACGAGCAGTTTTTTTTAAATAATCAAACTCACTTGGTGTCGGACGATGGTGTCGATCACTCTTTTGTGATTTGGACAATTCATAGAAGCTAATTCGAAACCTTATTAACTCTTACCCATTTGTATCCAAACTTGAAATCATAATTTGTTCTAGTTCAATCCTAAAAAATTTAGAGGCATTTACATTCAAAACATCCGATTCATATGTATTTACATGTATATCTAACACCTAAGCTTTGATTTTTATATTTATATCACCCAAATCTTTCATATCACATCAAAAATAACAGTATTTTAACTTAAATTTAAACTGAAAATGACCTTTCCACAAAAGTATAATTTCTGTCTTATTTACTAAGAAAAGTTAAAGGAATTAAAACTAAAACAACGATATATATATATATATATATATAAAGAATAATTTTATTTGTTCATTAATTTCATGTGGAAAAAGCAGTTGGTAAATTTGCAACTTTTACTTTTAAAATTTATTTTGTCTTCATATTATTTCTAATTGAATAGTGAATCACTAATTTTACTATTTTCAAAAAAAAATTATATCTCCTAATTTTTTCTATTTCTATTGTTACATATCTAGTTATTTCCTGTTTGGCTCGTTCGTTAACTAAACAAGCCGAACTCGAACAACTCCTTGTTCGCTTGTGTTCGGCTTGTTTCAGCTCGAAATAAAAAAAAAAAAAATTATATAGCTATTTATATAACAATATATTACATATATTATTTATATAATAATATATTATATATATTTATGTCTAAATTTAAATCATAACACCT